CTCTAATGCCTAGCCTCTGCTTACTGCCTGTCTGTGCTGGGTGGGCTGCCCTGTGAAGCAAAGGAAAGCTTGTCCAGCTTGTGTCTGGAGGACCATCTGTTGCAACTTCAGGTAGGACAAATCTGTCCTAATTTGGAAATATCTCTCTGATTGATCATCTGTGTCAATTTCCTTAAGCCTCACTAATTCCTCACTGAATTAGTCTTCTGAGGCTGGAAAGGACCTTGGGCTTTAAAATGTTCGAGGTAGAGGGCATCTCAGAGATCCATGGAGTCTGGCCTCCAGGTTTTATAAATTAGGAAAGCCTCCTCTGGCAATAATAATAGTAAGAAGAACCAGTATAGAGAGAGATTTTTAAAGCTGACAAAGCACTTTATATATTGTCTCATCTGATCCTTACCAGGACCCTGGGAAGTAGGTGCTATTGTTATCCCCATCTTACAGATGAGGAGACTGAGGCTCAGAGAGGGTCAGTGACTTGACCAGGGCCACCCAGCTCAGTAAGAGTCTGAGGTGAGAGTCAGGCTCCTTCGACCCAGCACTCTCCTAGCCCGGGAGTCTTTTGAGCTAAGTCTCTGTGGTTCTTATCCCTGGCAGCCTGTCCAGGAACAAGGAGCATTGTTGATTTGTGGGTGCCTAAGAGGGAGTAGTGTTTTGTTTGTTTGTTATTAACTCTAAATCGGCCAGCTGCCTAGTCCTCTCAGAGGTTGCAGCCCTTGAGGAAATGCCTCCAGCATCTTGCCCAGCACAAAGTGGAGGAAGGATATTCAGCTCCACGTGCTTGCTCCCTCTCTCCCTTTGAACACACAGAGGCCCAGGGAAATTGGACTCCGGATAAACCACCAGTTTGGGAGAGGAAGAGGGAGCCAACGGGCTTGGCTGGGGGAGTTTCTTTAACAGATGGGGCTTCTGGAGGTCCTGAGCAGGCAGTCGGGGGCTGCCCTTCAGTATGAAAAGCGGCTGCTTTCGTTATGGCCACATTTCAGTGACCTTCTTAGGGAGACCCAGAGGAGAGAGAAGGCAGAAAGAGAAGGCCCCCTGAAAGGGGCTCTCGGGCCTTCTGGAAGCAGCTCTCCACCTTTTCACCTGCCCGCACAGATGGTGATGATTCTCATGAAAGAGTGCAGGAGCTCTCGCCTTCTTTTTCCACCGGAGCGATTTGTCCCAAAGTGCCCAGCCAGGGCAGTCACCTCTTCCAGAGGGCACACAAAATGTGGCAGGCAGAGGAGAGGACAGAAACGCTCTGAAATAAGTACCTCGTCCAGCTGCATCTTCCGGCGAATCCTGTGACATTGGCAGATGAGCACCGTGGCCGCCATCGTGCAGGAGGACAGTGGGCCAGTGAAATGCCCAAGTGGAGTTGAATGTTACTTCACAAGCTTGTGGGGCTCCTCCAGTCCAGTGTCATTGATTATCCTTCGGGGAACATTTTGGATCCCAAATGTGTTGATGAAGCCCATGAATGCTTCTTTGTGGAGTGTTCTGGCCCTCAGATAAAGATGAAAACGTGGGGGCAAAGAAGCCAGGCACAAGGCTGCTGGTTTTACTGTCAACTTGCCCCATGGCCCCACTCTGACCACTGCCTCCTCTTCTTGAGAGGGAGCTGTCAGACTTGATGACTCTGAGGCTTTTGGGGGGTTCCCCTGAAGCCAACGTAATTTTGTGACAGGACTTTAGGCATTTTCAATAGCCAGAATCAATTCATTCCCCCCAACACTTGCCTTGAGGTTTGGAGCCATGGGCAAATGTTTGATTTGGGTCTCGGGGATTTCTTCTTTGTTCAAGATCTCTCCTCTCCCTGGGTGCCGGTACCTCCTCCATTAGCAGATCTCCTTAGAAGAACCTTTTGATTCTCATAAGGCTCATGGCTTGAGTGATTCCAGTGCTGAGTCTGGGTCGGAGCTGGGAGGGGCCCTAGACACCAAGTGATGGTCCACTCCTCTAGCTTCACACAGCAGGAAACTGAGACCGGGTAAGGGAAATGACTTGGCCCAGGTCACACCACCAGGCAACCACAGGTCCCCAACTCTCCTTTCTTTGCTCCTTGCCTGGCAAGCAGTTCACCAGCTCACCCAACATGGTGCGGATGAGCAGGGAGGCACGTGGTGTCAGTGATAGGGGTCTGGCATCGAGGGATCTTGGTTTAAGTCCTACCTGGGCAAGTTGCTTCTCGGAGGGCTTCAGAGCCCCAGCTCCGTCTGTCTATGGGCCAGCCCCACCCCCACATGACCCTTTTGACCCTCTATGTCCCTGGGGTGGGGGAAAGGCCTCAGTGCCTGACATCTTGGCTGCCTAACTTCCCTCCCCCACCTGGACTGGGGGTGGATGCAGCAGCTGTGCCCTGAGGCTGCAGGCCAGTCTGTCATTGCCATAGCAACCTCAGAAGCTCCCTGGAGCGGACAATGCAGCCCTTCCAGTCGTGGTGGGATTAAAGATGTTTTGTTTGGAGAGGGAGGGAACAAGGGGGCAGTGCGAATATGAACTGGGACTCTCTTTAATCTCCATGACCCGCAGGCCTGGCAGGGTCTGCACGTGGCTTTGCAGAGGCCCTTGGTGACTGTGGGCTGGAGAGCACCCTTAGAGCAGCACCCCATCTCCATTTTCTTTTCTCCTCTGGGTCTGAGATTTCTTGGAAGGAATCACCAAGGAAGACTAGTGACATTTTAAAATGACCCAAGATCCGGGCTCTGGCTGTGGAAAGGAATGGTGCCGACTGGTGGGGCAAGCCTCTCCTTGGGCCGTGGGCCATGGGCAAACTGGGCAAAAACCTGGTTCATCTGTAAAGTTCAGCCCTGGCCTCTGGTCCCTGAAAGGAGTAAGTCATGGAGCCGCCTCAGTCTACCTCTCTGTAAAGGGGGTTGCTGGCACTCTTCTGACAAAGTTGCCTGGTCAGTAGTAGCTGATGTTGATCCAGCACCCTTTACATGCATGTTGACTGGGGTGATCTCCACAAAGGAGGTGCTGTTATTCTTCCCATTTCACACATGAGGAAACTGAGTTTGGAAAAGATTAAATTATTTTCCCAGGGCCACATTTGAGACAAGTTTGAAACACTGGACTTCCAATTTTTCCCCCACCCCAACCTCCTACCTGCCTCAACAACCAGCCGTTATTAAGCATCTACGGTGTGCCTGGCTCTGGGGGCACAAGACAGAAACAAACTCACTAGTGCCATTAAGGAACTTGCATTCCAGCATTCTGTCATTTTAGGAGGCAGTGTTGCCTAGAGCAGTGAACTTGGAGTCACTCAAATCCCTCCTCAACTACTTCCTAGCTGTGTGACCCTGGGCAAGTCACTTAATGGAGCTTCAGTTTCTTCATCTATAAAATGGGGATAACCAAGCACCTACATGACAAGGCCTTCTCTAGAACTGTCCTCCCTGGTACACTGCCTCCAGGCCTCCCAGGCTAAGTCCCACCTAAAATCTCACCTTCTGCAGGGTGCCTTTCCACCTCCCCTCTAATCCTGCTGCCTTCTCTGTTTGTCACTGCCAGTTTGTCCTGTGTTATGTCTTGTTTGTACAGAGTTGTGCGTGTTGGCACCACGTACGCACATTAGACTGTGACCTCTATGAGGGAAGGCACTCACTGTCTTTTGCCTTTATATCCCCAGCCTTAGTGCCTGGCACATAGTAGGTGCTTAATAAATGCTTACATATGTATGTATTAATGCATTTTGCAGACTTTAAGTGCTAGCTATTCTTAGCATTGGGGGACACAACATGGACATGAAGTGATTGGGGGCTTGGGAGAGGGTGGAGAATAACTCCTGAGGAAAATGCTTTGGAAACCATAACATGCTCTGTAAATGCCTGCCAAGAAAACACTGGACTAGGGCCTTTGGGAACTCTTGATGGGGAAGAAGGCTTACCAGATCAGTTTGGAGCGCTGTGACGTCTGACCTCTCATTTTACAGAAGAGGAGACTGAGGCACATTTATGGAAAGCAGCTGATCTGGGATTGGAAGCCAGGCTCCAGTCCAAGCTTGGTGCTCTGTTCACGGCACCATCAAGCATCACTTCTCGTCTGAACCAGAGCTTTGGGATTTCAGATGTGGCTGCAGAGTCTTAGTTTGCAACTGTCTTGCTAGGGAAGGGGGAAGGGAAGGGAATAAACATGTATATACAATCTACTGTTTGCCAGGCACTGTGCTGAGTACTTACAGATATCTCCTTCGATCCTCACAACAGCCCTGCGAGGGAGGTACTGTTACAGATGAAGAAACTGAGGCAGACAGCGGGTCAGTGACTTGCCCAGGGTCACACAGAGCTATAAAGTTTCTGAGGCTGGGTTTAAACTCCAGTCTTCCTGAATCCAGGGCCAGGGCTTTAACCATTATGTCACTTAGCTGGGAGAATAACTTGTTTCTGATTAGGGGAAAAACAACAAAAAAAAAACCTCTCTAGGTACACATTAAAAAAAACCACACACACACAGCAAAAGTCTACAGAAATCAGTAGTTTGATGAACTAGTTTGATTTACTGTGAGCAGCAATCAGTAACATTCTTCGCCCCTAGCAGCCTTTGATTCAACTGAGCGTTGGGTCGGGGTGGGGGTGGGGGTGGGGGTGGGGGTGGGCGAGTGAAAGAGGCAAACAAGAGAACAGGCTGTCGGAAGAAAGTAGCCAGTAGTCCTGCAGGAGCCTGGAGGGTGTGGGGGGGGGGCGGTAAAGGTGAAGTAAGGCTGGGCATATGAGTCAGAGCTAAATGAATGAATGAGCGTTAATTAAGCAGTGATTATGTGCTGAACCCTGGGCCAAGCGGTGGGTGGGTGTGGAGACAGAAGGGGAGACAGGGAGGCGGCAGGTGCACGTGGGATGCTCAGTAAATAGATAACGGTTAGTTTCACAGAGTCAGAGATTTCTAGCTAGCAGAGCCCAGCCGATTTGTAAATCCCCATCAGATCGGGCACCTTCCTGAACATCCCTCCCCGTGCATTCATGTCTTCCTGGGGTATGATGGGGACCTGTGTGATGGTCGATTCCTTAACTCCACTCTAGTTCTGAGTCAGTGGGCAGTGTATGCCATACGAAACCTGACTGAACACAATAAAAGAAACCAAGGGCTAATTGCAAAGATGGAGGACCATGGACTGGCAGACACAGCTGTGCTTAAGAAAATGGGTCTTGAGGTTGAAAAACGAGATGGCAGACTTACTTTGAGATCCACCAGAAAAGGTCCTAGTTGGTAAGTAAACTGAAGTAAAAGCTTCTAGCACCTGCGGTAGTAGGAAGCTTGAGCTCTCTTGTGATGACAAGATGCTGAGCACCCCCAGACCAGACCCCATCAGAGTGAAGAGGAGGAAGGGAGGTTGGAAAAGCAAGTCGGGAAGACTGAGCAGTGCAAGGAGCTCTGAGTCCCACCTTCCTCCATTGAGCAGGCCGGCTCCCAGCATTCTAAAGGTGTCCTTTTGGATTGTTGAGCTGATATCTACCAAGAACACAGGACTTTCTTTGCTTGGTGCTGAAAAGCTGGAATTTGGTGGGTAATGGGTATAGCCTGCTGTTACCCACCAAGAACTGCTCAGATTAGGGGCCTAGAAGGCGCAGGACCAGCATGGGGTGGGGCTGGTCTTGAGGCCTGATGGAAGGACAGATAGATAGTCCAGCTATTCCGACTTGCTGTGGAGGCTTGATGGGAGGAAGGGCATCGATTGGGTAGTGGTTGCCATCTCTTCTGTGAGAGGGAGAAATACCCACATCATCTTGAGAAGAGAAGATTGACCATCAAAAGTAATGGTCAGTTATGTAACCTGGATTTTGTTAAGCTCTGAAAGTAACATGTTGCCACTTTCAGAAAAAATTCCAATTTTATAGAAATTTGTTTTACTTTTTTTTTTTTTTGGCTAGGCAGTGGGGTTAAGTGACTTGCCTAGGGTCATACAGCTAGTAAGTATTATGTGTCTAAGGCCAGGTTTGAACTTAAGTCCTCTTGACTCCAGGGCCTGTGCTGTATCCACTGTGCCACCTAGCTGCACCTGTTTTACTTTTTTTTTTTAACAGTGTTTCTTCGTGAGTGTGTGAGTTGACATCTTTTTTTAGTAATTTCCCCACCCCCATAGGACTCTCTTCCTTAGACCAAAGAACCACTGTGGTGAAGCCAAACACCCTGACATGCTGACCTCCCTCCTTAACTGGAGTCCACCCTCCCTCTGCTGAGGGTGCTTTGGCCCGAGTCTGAAGGCCTTGATCCTTCTGGAGGGTTTTCTGTATGTACATTGCTTATTGTAGCATTTTCTGTTCTTGTCTGTCTGCATCTGTTCGTGCAAGTCATCCCAAGTTTCTCTGAACCCTTTTTATTTATCTCATGACCAGTTTATTCAGCCATTCCCCAATCAAGGGGCACTTAGTTTGGCTGCCACGAAGACTTTTGCTGTGAATACTTGGGGGTGCATTTTCCTCCAAACTACGCTGTGAGGTAGGAAGTGTAGTGATGATCAGTAGGGATGAAGCTGGTTGGTTTTTTCAGTTGAGAAGGTTTCGTTTTGGAAATGGGCCTGAGCCATCGGCATTTACATTTCTTTTCTCCCCGTCACTTAGTGAATGATACCACCACCTGCCTCTTGGCTCCTGGCTCCTCGCTTCCTGGGGTTTGCCACTTCAGCAGGACGTGAAATTACAAGGGTCTGGAGGATTCCAAACTGGCTCAAAGCCAAGGATGCCTGAAGTTTGGGGAAAATTGAGTTAGCTGCACCTGGGTCCTGGGGAAGTATGCCTGCAGAGGGCCCACTGGACACTGGGCAGTGTGTGCCTAAGAGTTACCATAGACTTACTGCATCTTCAGATAATAAAGCTTTCTGTTTGGGGAGGCTCTGTCCTCCTGTGGTCTAAGAGCTGGATCTTTGTTTGCTCCCTCGGTTCCACTGCTGAGTGTTCTGAACTCTCTAAGTATGTCTGCCTCTCCAAAACTTGGACAAAACTGACTTCCGGGGGGATGCAGAATGGAAACACCCAGCTCTATTGTCCTTGCTGGCAGGAAATGATGGGGCCCAGAGATTCAAGGGGCCAGATTCATGCCTCTGGCCCCTAATGGGTTTCAGAGAGTTTGGGCCCTTGAGTCCATTACCTGAAAAGTTAAGAGCTCACTCCAGCTTAGCCACCAGTCATCTGTTCTCCTTTACTGAGCTGGGGCAGAATACCTCTACATGTTGTCTTTTAAAACTCCAAATACCAAGATGGCGAAGACATGGACTGGTTGCTTCTAGACAAGTCTGGCAGAGGAGGGAGCAGCAAGGTGTAAGGACAGAGCTCTGTCCTCAGGGAAATCAGTCAGTGGTTCAAACCCCATCTCCAACAATAGTACTTCCAGGCATCAGATCTGGAAGTAACCTTAGAGACCAGTTAGCCCCTTTGTTGTATGGATAAGGAAACAGAAGTCAAGAGGAAAGGACTGGCACAAGGCCACGAGGCAGCAGGTAATAGAGGTGGGATTCGAACCCAGCTCTTCCAGTTTAAAATCCAAAGGACCTTGCCTTTCTGCCATTCCAGCTGCGTGAGATGCCGTGCGAGTGCCTTCACCTCTCAGACTCTCTTTCCTCATCTGTGAAAGGAGAATAGCAGTCAGCCTTGCTCGCACGCACTCTCTCCCCCCCTCCCCTGGCTGGGCCTGGTAGCTGTCGGAGAATCCTTCTTTCCAACATCGTCAGCGAAAGGAAGACTGGGAGTCAGTGCCTGGCTCGCTCCTTTCCCACGCCAGTCGCTGATCCTGAAACTAGCCAGCCTCCCAACCCTGACCACAGGTTGGACACCCCTCTCCAGGCTGTTCGAAGCATAATAGCCCCCAGCTCCTTGCAGCCTTGTCTAAATTGCTTTTCACAAACTCGGGCACTTGGAAGAATCCAGTGAAAGCTTTTGGAGAAGCTAAGTGGTGGCCCCAGGGTATTAACACTTAGGAAGCACTTTCAAGTCCTCGGGGTTCCTCCAAAGGCTGGGAGGAGCGTTTTCATCACCTCCAGTACATTCTTTCAGGGTAGAAACCAAGGCAAATAAAAACGCCAAGAATTCCCTTCTGTTCTGAGGGCACTGAGAGTTAAAATCCTGCCCACAAAACAAATCGAGATGGAGGCCTGGCCTGAGGGGAAAAAAAACAGTAGGGGGGACACGGGGTCTCTTTTTTCCTTTTTAACGAGTTTGCAATAGACACTTTTTTTAGCCTCAATGGTTGTCTGGCCACCAATAGAATCACGCGAACATGGACTTATAAACCACACAATGGCCGGCACAAATAGCTAAAAGGGAATCCTCTGGGAATGGACGAGGGGGGGTCACAGTTATGTGTTTTCTAAATAGGAAATGGGGGGCTTTCAGAGGGAAAACATGCTGATGACTCTATTGTGAGCGGCTTTTGATTCCCTGGGATAGATTAATTCTTCGGAGACGACAGCTGCCCCGGCTCCCCTGGTGCCGCTGGAGCCCCGAGCCCCATGTCTTCCACGCCAACAACAAAATGAGGAGGGGGCGCGGGAGCAGCAGCCTGGGAGAGTTTGTGAAGGGTCAGCCTGGCCTCAGCAAGTCTTGTGACCAGAGCTCCCGGACAGACGAGCCCCATTTTGGAGACTCTTTTAAAAGCTACAGGAAAGATGGATTGTCTTCCTGGTGAAATTTCGCCTGCTACCCTCGCGCTGCGGCCCCCCCCCCCCGCCCCGGTCGATCGTCTCCCCTCTCCCCATATTCTCTTGTAGCTTTGCCTCCATCCCATCACGTCATATCATCCCTGATAGGCTGTGAGCCCTCCCTCCTTTGCGCCCCTCCTTACCCAGGGCCTAACGTTCGGGAGGCACACACTGACTGCGGCATCCCATAACCCTGTTGAGTGAAGGAATTTACAGAGGCATTTGGTTTCTTTCAGTCCTTTAAGGAAAGTGGCCATCGGTGTGTGTCCTCTGAATGAATGAGTGAATGAATGAATGAAAACGCATTTATCAAGCACTTATCATGTGAAAAAACTGCTACGGAAGAGCAAGCTCAGGACTTTGGGAGCAGCCAGCGTCCGCGTGATTGAATTCCCTGGTCTCGGGAAGTCTCCTATGCAATCCAGCAAACCGTGCCCTTCGCTAGTTAGATGGGTGTGAGGAAGATCACAAAACTTAGCAAAGAACCTGTAACAACTCACCCTCTGGGCTTGTGCTTAGAAGCAACTTCCTCCCAACACATGCAAGCTAGGTAACTGTAGCCCCCCCCCCCCCACGGGGGGCATGCAAACGTGAGTTCAGACGGGGAAGTGGCCTCTTTCTAGTGGGGAAAGCCCTGCCTCCTGGGGCTAACAGTCAGCGGGTGGGGGGAGGGGGAGAAGTAATACATACACAGGCAAGTGAGGAGGGAAGAAGTGGCTGATTACCTTGGAAAGCTCCATCTGCCATTGGCCCCTTACTTCTGCAAGGGCAGACCTGGACAGATCCAGGCCCAGGCTGTTTTCAAAAACCCAGCACCGAGTCAGACCATAGGAAAATGTAACGAATTGGTGAGCCACCCCCACCCCCCTTTAGACTACTGAAAAACAAATAAACCAGAACCATTGGGATACATTCTACAGTTGAGATGGTGGGGGAGGTGTGCCTTTTACCCTATCGTTCCCTATTCCTAGAAAGTAAAGCTCACGGAAATAGCCCTTTCTTAGGTACAGGTCAGTGAGGGAAAAGTACAAATCTGACAAGTGAATCCAAGTTGAGTAGGGGCACCACTAGCTTCTGAATCCGAGCTCAATTCTTGTCCTGATAGGGTCCCCTGGGTGCTGTCCAAGGTCCTGATCGCCCTATAGGCTCCGAAAGGTACACATCCTAGGATTTAGAATGGAGGAGGCAGTAGATATCTATACCAGCCCACTATTTTACATATAGGGAAACTGAGACCCAGAGAAGTTATAATACTTAGTTTCTGAATATTCTATTTAAGCTTAGGGAGAGGAGCTAGTGCTGCCGCTTCAAACCGTCCAGGTGAGCAGCACAAACTGATGTACTATGCCTGATGGCATATGCCTCAGACCACAGCTGTCATCTACCACATCTCTGTCAAGAGAGAAGTGTGTTTAGTCATCGCATTGATTTGAGTTCTTTTAGTCTGAGATGTCTTTTAGTGGTGAATAGTGATTCCATTACATCACCATTGTCCTTGTGTCCATTCTCTTGGTGGTTACTTCATGAAAGTCTTCCCAAGTTCCTCTGAATTTCTCATGCTTTTGTTTTCCTACGG